TCCGTGGGGCGGTGTCTTTGGCAACTTTTACGTAAGGTGCCTCGATGCATGCGCGGAGGAGCGAGCATCGAGGCACTCTACTTTCACGTAGCTTTCTTCGATGCGTGTGCCGCCCTCTACCGGTGGAAGCTCTTTAAAAATTATTAAAGCTGTGAACCTGTTTAGAACCGCAAATGTTGCTGCTTCTTTTCCCGCGTTAGGGGACGTGTTGCGATGTTGTTAACGACCTCGATGCTATCGTGACCCTTCACCCTTCGAGTTTATCAAGTTACAGGGTAAGCAAAAATAAAATAGGAAAAGCTGAATGACTTCACTGCGAGCCTCGATCTCGCAGCCTATATATATATATATATATATATATATATATATATATATATATATATATATATATATATATATATATATATATATATATATATATATATATATATATATATATATATATATATATATATATATATATATATATATATATATATATATATACCGGGAAGCAAAGCAAGGCTCCCATTCGAATTATAATTAGCGCCCCAAAAAGCTGTGCATAATTAGGAACTTTAGCAGGACATAACTTTATTTCGCAGAGTGGCAAAATATAGGTGTACAAAAGGAGGATACAGCATAGGAAGATATAACACAAGTATAATCAATGCGTAAGTATGAAAACACGTGGGACGGGTTGTCGATTGCCTATGCACCAAAATATGACTACACGCGAACTATAGCCGAAGTTCCCACTATTGTAAAATACATTCACTTCACATATATAATTAGAACTTGGCAATATCTATTAGCTGTTATGTTGAAGAAGGGTATTTCCTCACAGAAGAATAATTCTGCGTCAGTCTATTCGCTATTACGTAATCTAAATACTTGCCACAATCTTTTTTATAGATATAGTGATTACTAAGATAAAGGAACAAAAGTGCGAAAAAAGCATGTGAAATATATACTCGCAATAAAAGTTCAATATGTACAATATTTCAAATGTATAATAAGATATCAGCAAGCTGACGGGCCCGTTAGGTAAGCACCAGCCAAATACTGATCACTAATATCATTTTTTTTCTTTTTTTATGTCAAAACGTATTACCTGGTGAGCCTCTTTTGTCGCCTGCTGTGCAGCCCTTTCAGCAAAGTACTGTCGACGCAGGTCAAGGGTGCGTAGGCCCTGCACTGTGCCCTGGCTGATTGCTATACGAGTTCAGCACATTACCACAGGCTATACTGCCATCATTAAATGTGAGCACAGCATCAAAAGTGCATATTTTCATTGTTTAGTGTCCGAGGAAAACGTTTTTCGGAGGGCGCTTCCACACGATCATTAAACGACTCATCAGAGTTTTAAGCATTTCTGAAGGAGGAATTCTAAAAGTAATTCCACTAGTGAGTTGCGGATCATTTAACTTAACAGCTTCAATAACAGATGATGGAAGGTGTTCTTCATGAACGAAGGTTTTGCCATTCCACTGGGATTTGTCGAATTCACACCAAGTTTCTGCGTCCTACGGGCAAAGGCCGTGGAATGCATAGGGATCCTGTGATTTTATTGTAAACTATGCGACCCGGACAGCTTTTCGCATTTTCTAAAAGATGTCACATATCCACTAGAACTGGCACCTGCACCGCACAGAAGTGACGTCACGTTTGTAAAATAACCTTAAGACAAATAAAATGAACAAATTATTATTTCATAATGTGCTAAGCCTACAAATATATTAAGCAAAATAACCTTAAGACAAATGAAATGAACAAATTATTATTTCATAATGCGCTAAGCCTACAAATATAATAAGCAAAAAGTGTTCAACGAGTCACTTAACCAGCATTTAATAATTAAAGACATTGCAAGCACCATAAATTGAGTAGGCGCGGCTGAAAATAAACAGTGGATATTCATTCAGATACCAAAGGAAAGTTATTGCTAGATCTCTGCGAGCAACATAGCCTTGAGCTAGTTAATGCGGGGTCTAAGTGTAAGAGGCAGATTACGTGGTAAGTGTGACACAGCCAGTCAAGCATTGATTATCGTCTTATGACTGAGGAAATCTATGACAAACTTACAGAGATGCGAATAGACAAGGAAGGCATTAACAGCTTGGGTAGGGATTATACACGCATAACATTACAAATGGATAGAATACTGAAAATAGGAACATGAAATGAAAGTTTCGAAGGTCGTTTTTACACGACACAAAAATAACAAGTATAGTGGTGTGCTCGGTAGGCTCTGGCGGCGCTGGCCGTTACCGCAAAAAAAGCCACGTTTTCTGAGCCAGACGGCGCAGTATACATGTTCCAGTAAACCATAAGTTTACGTTGAGGGTGATGGCACCCCGGCAACCAAAAGCTCTAGGAGAGGAAAATGTAAGATATAAAAGGCGCATTCGTGAAACCTTCGGGGTTTTCGAGCGTAGCGCAGTGCATTGCATTCCCGGCATCTGTTGTCGTTGAGGGGCAGCGGGCTTGACTCACGTCGCCATCTGATGACGTGCATGTTCTTCATGTCATTTTTATGCCGGAACTACGTCATTGAAGTCTTGGTGGGCCTCGGCATAAAGCATTTTGTGTTGAAACTAAATAAATTTTCGTTCAGGAGGTGCGACTTGAATCTCGGTTCCTCCCTTCCTCCGTGCAGAAGCAGGTGCCTTGATGACTAAAACACGCGCCCATGCTTGCCCAATGTAAGCCCACGTGAAGCATATGAATGTGTTCGAACGACGAGGCAGAAAAGGACTGGGAAGCAGTACTCCTGCTTTGAGCGCATCGTTATAGTACTATTTCGTGTCGGTGGACTAAAAGCAGTGTACGGCACAGCGCGCAAGGTTGATATCAGGAGTTATACATTTCAGGAAAATTCCGGCTTGAACAAAATAGAATGCCTAAACCGCTTATCTGTGACCGCGTGCGGATGCTTTCGTTGGGCTGTTCTACAGGCTGACCAAGACTCGCTAAAACATGAAAGCCCGAAAACATCGTTCCGTGGACGGCAGCTATACCCTCTAGAGTAAATCTAAGCGCTTACTTATAAAGGCTCAAACACATGCACGCGGTTGTTTAGCAAGAATCGGTAGCAACGAGGGACAGTATTTGCTGTCGCGGAGGCTCATTTGTAATCGCCGCTTTTTGTGTCACGCGTGTTTTGGAAAACTAGCAAAAAATCGCTTGTCACCGGAAAGCCAGTGCAGCGATTTCCGATAAGATGATGGCACCTCTGGTCCCCGCTTCTGTTGCAATTTGTCCTCGATGCTTGTTATCCGCGCCTGCGTCAATAAATGCAAGATATCGACCATTTATATAAGTTTGCTTATATCAGATCCAGTTATGAAGTGCAGCAACGGAAACATTCGAATGGGTGCTAATGCGAAAACGTTAGGAGTAATTTTCAATAAAAAGATGAGCTGGGATTTTCAAGTTATATAAGTTGTGTCTTGCCTGAATAGGTGTGTTGGTGTTCTAGGAAGGGACATCTTTTGCCCGTGGTCGCGAACGGAACTCGATGACATATTGTGCACTGACAGGGACGTGAGAGAGACGACAACACAATGCGATAACTTCAGCGATATTACTTCCAGGAAACGCCAACACATATTATTATGCACAGTGGCCCCACCAATATATCCACTAGCCAAGCAGAAAAGCTCTCTCCCGATTCAAAAGGTCAATTGATGGTGCTCACACGTGTCTTTATTGCGAGAGATAGCATGAGCTTCAATCATCACTCGGACGTCTTTATCTTCATGTTTAGCCAGCACAATGCAAAATTCATACATAGGCGCGCAACTGCATTCCAAGTAATCTGCAGAAAAATGGTCATAAATATTCTTGTTTTTATATTTAGCTTGTGTTCGCGACGACGATCGTTAAGGCCACCGTCTGACCATTAATTCCACCGGTCAGCGGAAGCACATAAACCAACCCTTGTGTTGTCTCTCTCAAGTCTCTGTCTGTTAGCGCTCGATATTTCGTCGAGCTCTAGGGAAATTTCACTCACACCTTCCTGCATGTATAAAATCGTTTTTATTTATTTATTTCACTGAAAATACATTATTTTCATGTGCAGCATTTATAAAGCCTGATGGTGTTAATCTATAACACTCCCTTTGTATCACATATCACATTCATGCGATAGTTTCCAATCTATAGCAATAATCCTGGCAGCGGCAGTTGCATTTCCGATGGAGGCGGAATGTTGTAGGCCCGTGTGCTCAGATTTGGGTGCACGTTAAAGAACCCCAGGTGATCGAAATTTCCGGCGCCCTCCCCTACGGCGCCTCTCATAATCATATGGTGATATTGGAACGTTAAACCCGACAAATCAATCAAATCAATCTATAGCAATAATGACACTTCGTCGCCGACATGTCGTTGCAGCCGTCGTGACGGAGCAAGTTTATCGCTTTCGCTCGTCGCTATCACTCGAAAATCACGTGCGTGTGGTCGGGCCTTTAAGGAACGCGCAGTGCAAAAGGGAGAGGAAGGAGGAATGAAAGAGAAGCAGCAAAGCTTCACCTGCTCCTCATTTTTCTGACAAGCTCCAGAATTTTTTAATTTTATTGTCTGTAAATATCACACGGTAACAGCGCGATACAGCGTGTGCAAGTAAATCAATCTAATTGACAGCCATTACTTGTGCCAGAAGTTCATTTGTGCTCTTGCTACTGAGACATTTACTAGATGAACCTTTCTAATTACTAATGTCAGGGTGGCCATTGTTACTGCGAAATAAAATGGCAAGGCGAATGCAGGCTGAGGCCAAATCGCAGCATTAACGCGAATAAACCAGAGCCGATTCGCAAGAGCTGCACTTCAAGCGACACGCTGTGCGTCGCTTCACCCACGTATCGAAAAAGCAGCTAATCGCTCAAAGCAATCTCTTCAGGGTGATACGCCATGCTGAAACAACAGCGAAATTGTGCAACCACTTGACCTGAATGATTGTGCGGCATATATGTGATGAGTAACACGCTCTGAATTCAATAATATCTGGCGTGATTACGACCGTTTCGCCGTCGCACTTCTGCGGGGTCTGTGCAAACGGTGTCTATAGTGAGACGGCAAAGATTCTGGTGGTTCCTGCGAGCTGCTCAGCGTCTCTGTGGATGACGATGCTGGTGATGATACTTTTCGTTTCCGTGATAGGTAAGTTGTGATCACGATATTGTGTCGTACACCTTATGAAAAACGTTGCTTTTCACAGTAGAAACGTGAGAGAAGTTTCAAAGAGAGTTGTCACAGACGAAGATACGCACTTTATAACCTCGGTGAGCAATATATGACGAGCTTGACATAATAACAAATTACCTAAAAAAGAACCAATATCGCAACAGTGACGGCAAACAAGGCGAGAAGTGCCGGTGCACGAACCGGTTGTGTGAACGGCCAAAGCAGCTGATATCGGAGGAAAACTTGACTTCTAGAAGACATGATTGATGATTGATTTGTGGGGTTTAACGTCGCAAAACCACCATATGATTATGAGAGACGCCGTAGCGGAGGGCCCCGGAAATTTTGACTACCTGGGGTTCTTTAAGGTGCACCCAAATCTGAGTACACGGGCCTACAACATTTCCGCCTCCATCGGAAATGCAGCCACCACAACTTCTAGGAGACAATTTGCTGCATCTGATGCATAAGCACTCTTTTGCGAACTTAAGTTATCAAAGTCCCAAGAAAGTAAGCAGCCGTGGCGTGTAAGAGATATTGCTGCCTCCAAAAATGAAAAGTAATTTTTTATTGCCTTTTTGGAGCGACAAAATCATTTGGCAGAAACAAGCTGTTGTGGCATATCAAGCTACAAAGACTGGCAAACAGCCTAATCATAATTAGTGTTTTCACGTCCCAAAACCACAATAGAATTATGAGAGACGCCGTAGTAGAGGGATATACACCCAGGGGCATACGTTGACGTGCCCCTAAATGCAAACACATCGAAATGCGACCGCCGCAAGCGGCATTCGCATGATCTCGCTACTTTGGGTGCACATTGGAGCCCCGTAGTCACTGTACACCCGTGGCGGGTGCCCCAGATTCCTTGATGCCACAGTGGCCAGCGCAGTGTTCTTCAGGAAGAAGACTCGAGCAAGCCAATGACATTAGTGGCAGAAAGGCACACTGACTGCACCTTTTTTTTTAATGCACCGCACGCAATCACTGGTAAAATAACGGCTGCAGTCTAACCTCTGCTTGATCTCTGGCAAATGCGGAGGCCCATTTCATCTCTATATGACCCATATGTAGTGCAGGCATATTTGTCTGGTGCTGGAAAACTGTAAAGCTTGCAGATTCGACCGTTCTAAGCTTCTGTAATTAAGACAACGTTTTTGTTTCGTAGCCAATCCGTGTTACGAATGTGGGTTGAGGTGCATGCATTAGGGGCGTTGCTAACTTTGATTGAATATGTCCGCATGCTGTTTCGAAGTTTATGGTTGTGTACTATAATTTTTGGCTGTGTGTCAATGGTTCAATGGCATGGTCCTTCGTAAAATAAAGTACCGGTTACAACCTAAACATACATGGAAGCTCCGCCCACAGCCGTCCCACTCAGAGGGGTTGGCCTTAGTTGGTACCACAGTTGCCAGATGTAACCGAGCTAACAAGCAAATAATCTCCACAAAATAAGCCCCTAAGGAACAAAAAGTGAAATATTTTTTTAAGTTTTGAAGCCACCTTTATTTCTAATAAAAATGTAACTCAACACAGCTTTGTATAAAATTCCACTCGAATTATATCGAAAATAGAAACTATGCGCAGCCACGAACGGAAGCACTTATTTACTTTTTAACATTGTCTTAAAGGTAATCTGCATTCGGTGGAATTCACCTTGGCTAATGCACAATTAATGTAATTTGTTGATACCCTCACTGTACGTTAGACCGTAACACTCAAATATGCAAGGACATCGACAAACGAGCTATTGGTAAGTGAAATTACCACAAAAATGACCATGTTCTCCAAAAGTGTAAGTACGCCCCTAAAAACACGACAAGTGAACTGAGAATGCCACACGCGTCTCAGCAAAAAAAAAAAAAACCTAATCCGCTAATTAAAACTGGCAACTCTGGTTGGTACATAGCATACATGATGCGCACAACACTCTCGCTCAAACTGTGCACAGCTCTAGAGAGTATGACTTTAAAACCCCATTGCCTAACCTTATTGCAAACCACCCCAGTAAATTCTGGAATTTCATTAGTGAAAAGAAAAAAAAAAACGGTATCGCAAATATCAATTGATGAAACCAACGTCACCGATCAGAGAAACATTGCCCGGCATTATTTCCAGAGTGTGTACAACACTTCCGATTTCAACTGTGTATCTAACGCCACAGCCTTTCCTTATGCTGAAGCACTCTTTATTTGTGTCTATGTTGCTAGCTTTGAAAATTAAGTCATCTTGTGGCTTTTATTTATTATTATTTATTTTATTTAATACATACTGCGGACACTAAGTGGTCCAAGCAGGAAGGGCACGTCACGCATACCACAGGCGTAATGACGTACATCATACGAAAAACACACTTTGTTTTACACGCTACAATACACTTCGTTATGTAACAACATCACGCTTCGCTCTATACACTACGATAAACTTCAATATGCAAAGCAACAACACACCCGGTTCTACAACACTACATTACACTATGTTCCACAACACAAGTAGTAACTTACGCCAAACAACGACAATACATTGCATACATCATACTTTACAATACGTTACACATACGTTACAATGAATGAGGTTCGCATAACTTGTTCCAGTCCGACACTGTTCGCGGAAAAAAAGAATACATAAAGGCATCGGTTCTCGCAAAAAATGGGGTTAGCAAATTGGGATGATGATGTCATGTGTTCCTTGTTGACAGAAAAGATAAGTAAGGCGATGAATCGATTGCGAGGTTTTGATTAAGTAATAATTGAAGGAAATCCAGCCGTTGTTCGCGTCTGCGGGATTCAAGGGTCTGAATGTCGTTTGCAGACATCAGCGCGGAAGGTGAATCCGACGGTAAGTATTTTGAATATATAAACCGAACAGCTTTCCTTTGAACCCGCTCAAGTTTGTTAATATTAAGCTTAGTGTAAGGGTCCCATACAATGCTGGCGTATTCCAGTTTAGGTCGTATAAAGGAATAATAACTAAGAAGCTTTACATTGGCAGGACAGGTACGCAGTTTATGTCTTAGAAAACCAAGTTTCCGAAAGGCAGCTGAACATATGTTGTCTACATGCATGTTCCAAGACAAATTACTAGTTATAGTTAGGCCCAAATATTTGTAGCTTGTAACCTCTCTAAGAGTTGAAGACCCAAGCTGGTACGTATTATTTAGTGGAACTTTCTTACGTGTCAAACGCATGCAGACACTCTTTTCTGCATTAAGGATAATTCCCCACTCATTGCACCACAGATGAATATTATGAAGGTTTGAGTTGAGTTCATTTTGATCATCTAAAGAGTTAATATCCCGGAACAAAACACAATCGTCTGCAAATAATCTAATTTGTACAGAAGGGGTGATGACATTTACAATATCATTTATGTATAAAAGAAAAAGCAATGGCCCTAGGACGCTTCCTTGGGGTACACCTGATGTGACCTGTAGAGACTGCGAACGCTGGTCATTAATAGCAACAAACTGTTCACGGTTATTTAGATAGTCAGCAATCCAGTTTACAAGGATTTCGGGAAGGCCAATACGTTTAAGTACGGGAAGTCCCAAGAAAGTTGATACGTTGATAACAAACCGAACGTATTCCTACGATGATATGCTTTATCTTTAGCAAAGTTTTTGGTTATTATTTATTGCTGTTATTTGTTGTCTTCCCAAATGCCCAGTGACTGGAGTTGTGCCTGCGTTGTGCCCATCTTTAAAAAGGGAGACAACTTAGCACTAGGAAATTATTGTCCAATCTCACTAACTTCACAATAGTGCAAAATTATCGAACACATCATAGTTAATAGTATCATCAAGTTTATTGAAGAATGTTCTATATTAACCAAGTATCAACAAGTTTTTCGGAAAAGACCATCTACCATAACTCAACTTGTCACACTGTTTCACTCTTGCTTTAAACATCGATAGACCCGGTAGAACAGATATGCACTTCTTAGATTTCTGCAAAGCCTTCGATAAAGTTTCCAATAGTAAAATCACTTTCAAACTTACAATAATAGGTATACCAGAAATATTTGATTGTTTGATTTCTGCGTACATAAATAGTCGCAAACAGTACGTTGATGTAGGGGGCCAATATTCGGACTGACTTCCAGTCACATCGAGTGTACCATCGAGAGCAGTGTATTAGGCCCTTTTCGTTTTGTATTGTATATCAATGATAATGTGAATGTTGTTCACCCTAGTGTAGAAATAAGATTATTTGCAGATGATTGTGTTTTGTTAAAAAAATACGTCCCAATAACGATTTCAATGATCTGAGCATTAGTCTTTGCAATATATATGAATACTGCAACAAATGGGGAATGTGTCTCAACGCGAACAAATGTATGTGCCTTCCAGTGACTCGCGAAAAGAATTCCGTATCATATAAATATATATTAGGGTCTTCACTACTGCAACAAGTAAACACCTACAAATACTTTGGTGTGACACTCACATTTAATTTATCTTAGAATTTCCATATTGATAATGTTTTTTCATCTGCCTTTCGCAAACTATATCTTCTTAAACATAAACTTCGAAGTGCTCCTACGAATATTAAACTACTTTGTTACACTGCCCTTGTGTGACGAAAACTAGAGTACACGAGCATAGTATGGGACTCCTGTATAAAACGTAATATATACACTCTTGAGCGTATTCGAGGAAAAGCTGTTGGATTTATAATCAACAAGTACTCCAAGTTAGACTCAACCTCAGATTTAGTGCTAGCCAACAACATTCCCTTATTGTAGACGCGAAGACAAAATGCTTGATAAGAATTCCTTGATCAACTTTTGAGCAAAAACCTAGCTCTAGACCCATCCCCATATTTGACACCCCTTAGTAGCCGGCTCACCCGACACTACCACCCCAAAGGCTTGATTCTATATTTTGCTCACATAGACCTACTTAAGTTTTCATACTTTCCAGGAACCATATGTGAATAGAACTGTCTTATTAATACATGTGATGAATGAATTACCCT